CCCCCCCCCCCCCCCCCCCCCCCCCCCCCCCCCCCCCCCCCCCCCCCCCCCCCCCCCCCCCCCCCCCCCCCCCACCCACCCCCCCCCCCCCCCCCCCCCCCCCCCCCCCCCCCCTACATATTTCCTGCTCATTCATTCATTCGTTCATTCACTCCATTCCATTCACTTTTGCACGTTCGTTCGTTCACCCCCACCCGCTCACCACTCTGAAACCCCTTTATATTGTTTGTTTTTCTGATTTCCTTCTCATTTGTGAATTTGTCCGTGATCCTTCATCATTGTGCATTTATTGCATTCTTTTTTTTTTGTGTGTACACTATTCTTTTCCCTTCTCTTGCCTTCCCTCTTTTTTGTAAATAGTCGTTGTTGCACCAATTTCTATCAATTCTTTCCTCCGGTATTATTTCCTTCCTACAATCGATCCTCACATTTCTATAAAATACCCTTCATTCTCTCTTTTTTTTGTCGCCATGTCGGCAGTCAACTTTGATTTCAACAATAATACCGTTTTACAAGGTAAGCGAGCAAGATGGCGAGTTATGATGGTGTTATCGTTATTACTCTCTGTCTTTCTTCCCACTTCCATCCCCCCTCCCGCTCTCTCAATTCTGTTCTCTCTCTCTCTTTTTTTTTTTCCTCTACTGTTTTGTAACAATGTCATCCTCTTTTGGTGCCTTGTCGTTGGGCGCAAACTCTCGTTCATTGTTTATCTTTATTATATTTTATTTCTTTTTGTTTCCTTTTTTGACAATTTCCTTTTTGTCATTACAATTGTTAACACCGGTATTTTTTTTAAAACAATAGCGATAAATCACGCGTATCAGCACCCTTCCGCAGTTTTCCCGTTAGCAGGCGCGTCAACATACCAGGACATGTTCACCTCTTCCGAAAGTTCACCAAAGTTAGTCGGTGAAATGGAAAACGCCCACTCCCTAAAGAGCAACGATAACATCAACGACCGTCAAGATAACGGAATTCACCATGACGGTGTGTCTGGTCACATGATCACGAACAATGGCAGCGTCCAAACCCCTTATCATTCCTCACAACTTGCGGATAATATAAATCCCATGACACAACTTTCCTCCTACTATTTTGAAACGGATTCTTCTGCCAACCCGTTTGAAGTAGGTGATTTCATTCAATCATTCAATTGTCCTCCCCTCGTCATATGCATTTTTTTTTGCTTCCGCCAAGTGCACCTCCATTGTTGCATCTTTCATCGTCTTTTGTTCAACTTCACAATTAATTGCTCTGTCAATAATGAGTTGAGGTCATATATTAACCCCCCTCCCCCTAATTCGACCCACCCTTCTTCCCCTTTTCTTTCCTCCATAACAATTCTTGTTATTCTTCGTGATTGTTCGCTTCGATATTTATTCCACATTTATTCACCATTTCTTTTCTCTTCTTTTCTTTTTTTCCTTTTCCCTTCCCTGCCCTCTTTTCGCTCTCCCCATCATTATCATACTTGTAGATCTATTCTCGCGACAGCATCATACAGAACTCTCCGTCATTATACGATCAGGTAGGGTGGTGACTTTCCTCTCCTTGTGTTGCGCTGCTCGTTCTATCTCTTCTCGCTCACCTGGCAAACCTTCTTCACCCTTTCCCTACCTATGTGAACAAATATTTACAGTCTCAAGAATATCACAACAATAACATGGTAGGATGATGTGATGATCCCCTTTTCTTGTTCACCGCGCCATCGTCAGGTCTCGCAAAATAATTCGCTGAAAACAAACTTTTTCCAGATATTTCAAGCCATTCAGAGTCACTCGGAAGCTCAGAACGCGAAAGAAACGGAACCCCAGTCTCAGCAAGTCGCGCAGGCCTCACCTTCGAAATCAAACACGGTAATGCACATGTCTATTTCACTAGATCTTTTTCCTAAGCATCCCACTGCCACCACCTCCTCCTCCTCCTCCTCCTCAACCATACTAAT